TACGTTTACGACCATTATGAAGAAGATGATAACGATGATGAAGATAATAGTGATTACACTTCATTTCAAACAATCCAATTACGTGATCAAGCAAAGACATTGGATGACTTGCAGTCTGTATATAAAATTTTGCCCAAATTGAAAAATTTAGCTTAAATTTTCGAACTTGCACATGTACAGTGCAAGACTACCACTTTTCGACGACCCGCTAAACTGAGTAAAACTAAAAGATAACGTGACGTAGCTCCATTAAGGTGTTAAATCTCGATAATTTTCCCCTCCAGATGGAGTATGTTGTGAACAACGAGGTTCCCTCCAATTCCAGTGTGTCCGTCAGGGAATACAAAGGTAGGGCGTTTAATTAAGCTTTAATGTGAGCATGCATTTAGAATGTATTAAAAAAAATCAAGCCTTTGACTAAAAAAGTTCATCTTGTTTGGGAAGATGTAAACAAACAGCATCAGTCTTCAAAAGAAAAATTCAATTAATGGACGAACGAACCAAGAATGAGCACCAGTAATGAAACAAACGAACACATCGATAAACAATAAATGGACAAATGACCAAACCGGAGACGCAAGCCAACCAACGAACATACAAAAGAATGACGAGCGGAGAATGAACGAACGGACGAACAAACGAACGAACGAGCCAATGAAGACCAAGGAATGAATGAACGACCAACCGAACTAGTCAACAAACGAGCTATTGAAGAACAAGGAATCAACAAACGGACGAACAAACTAACGAACAAACAATGGAATAAATGAATGAATAGGTGAGGAAAAAGACAAATGCATAAATGTTCCACCATAAACTTCCCTACAAATTCATGATTGCATGAAAGCAAAAACGAATTATAATTATTAAGTCAACTTTCTTGTTTCTCAACCTACAGCTCGAGTCCAAAGAGCTGTTGCCGATGTCCACGATGCACTGCAGGCTGAAGGAAGGCAGAAGCGTGACGTTGGGAGTGTGGAGATGATTAGCCAGTTGGAAAAGAAGGCTGACGATCTGATAACACGACTGCAAATCAAAGAAGGTCGGTAACATTCCTTGGGCACCCCATAACAAAATGAAAATTATATATATTCGTTCAGGTCTAGACATAGTCTATGTGTCCTGTTCTAGATCGATACAAGAGAAGTGCCCTTAAAAGGAAAGTTGCTATTCGGAATGCTAAGAAAGCTCACTGGTAAGGATATCAAGTAATAATAATAAT